TGTGTGTGTGTGTGTGTGTGTGTGTGTGTGTGTGTAAGAAACTGGTAGCCATTTTGCCTACAGTTAGAAAAAAGGGATATTGTTGTTATTAGCACAGGTAAAGCACAACCTGCCACTGTACACTTTGGTGATGGAATTGCCAATTTGCTGGGGATAATGTCAGTAAATTATCAAAAGGAAAATGGAAGATTAAAAAAAGAAACCATCAACCAAGTTTTAAAAGGACTCAGAAAACTTCATATCTACATGATAGGGTACTGATGTTCTAGCCAATGAGTAGGATGTTGTGCCCATAAGTGTATGTCAGTGTCTTTTCTGTCAAAACTGCCTTGGATCTCATTAGCAATGACATTTTAGATGCTCAGGAAAATAAAAAAGGTTCTGAATTACATAAACAAAAAATATTATCTTAAATACACCCAAGATCTATTTGGTGTTTCATCTTTCAGTGATCCTAGATTTAAGGTGCAGTTTAGTAGTAAAGACAGAGGTCTCTATTACACAATGCCTCAAGTGGAAGCAATCATGTAACTTTATATAAAACTATAAACTCACCGACAGTGTCTCCAACACTTTAATAGCTCTACGTATCCAGTTTCTGTCATTAGTGATGAAAGAAGTTTTTCCACACTTAAATTGTTTAAAATTTACGTTCAGTCTTCTATGGCCCAGGAAAGACTTGTTGGCCTGGCTACTTTGTCCATAGAACATGACCTGGCACAACAAATAGACTTGAAGGAACTTGTTACAACATTTGCAAAATTAAAATCAAGAAAAGTTAAATTCTGAAAATTTTAAATATAGTCTGTCATTGCAAGCTTTCTGTGTTAATATTTGAAATACAAAAATGCGTGGGGTGATGTTATGGGGAGTATCTGGATAGCCGAGATAATTTTTTTTGGGGGTTGGGATGCTGAATCATTATTTTTGACCAAGGGCACCTTGAAGTGTTGCGCTGGCCTTGCATGCAACAACTACTGAACAAGCATTCACCTGTCTTCACTCATTTCAAGGCTGGAGGGTTCTCAGTTCAGCTACGATTTCAGAATCCATTTGGAAAAATTTCAGTGGATCAGGTGATGGAAGAAACAGTAAATAAGGACACTGAAACCCCAGGTGGCACCAAAGGTTTCAGTTTTCATCCCAATAGAGCCACCAAATACCACATGATAGCAGAGTACAGGATGACATGTCTCAGGCAAATGAGAGCTATGACACAACTACACAGTTAAAAATTTTCTCCCATAGACCTAGAGGCATCAAGGATCTGAAAAGACTGTGCTTATGTTGATGCTATAGTTGATATGCTGGAAAACAAATGGGTGAATCCTTTTGGAGAAAAAATGGACTTGGTCAGTCTGTCAACAGGCAAAGCAGCAAATTCTGATGTTACAGATCAACTCCCTCATGCACAAGAATTAGGAGAAAAAGCATACCAAGAATTCAAAAATAATCACCTTGATGAAGATGCCTTCATAAATTTCATGACAAAATGACCAAACAAAAGCTGAAGATGTTCTCTGACCTCAACAAAAGAAAAGAATATACAAAAACAACTGGCAAAGTGCAACTTAATGCAGATAGAGATTTGTTCAGCAACATGATTATAATTACACAGAACAGAAACCTCAAAATCAAAGAGGTACTCATGCATCCACTGGGTCCAATTCCATGGTCGCTACCCACTTTTGATGGATCACCATGGAAGACCAACAAAGCAGCTTTTGGCTGTTAAGTAATGAAGAACTTGTCACCAGCAGAAAATATAGCAGGAGCATCCACCTGCATCATCGATGGAATGTGTATTATTCAGAAGATGAAAGGAGACAACCTTTGTGGAACTAGCAGAATATGCGCTGTCAATGATTTTACACAAAGGCACACTTAGTCATAGGATTGATGTCATTTTTGATGTGTGTCATAGAACATCTATTAAGAGGGTCTAACTTTGGCATGTAATTCAAGAGCCTTGCTGCAGGTCATAAAGTACAACAGTGGAGGAAATTATTGTGTAGCTCACAAAACAAATAGTCTTATTACATTTCTGACGACTGAGTGAAAGAAAAAATACTGCAACATACCTTACAAAGAACTACATGTTTCAAGTTGACCAAAGTTAACATAATGATGATAGATGACCTCAAGTCATCTCATGAAGAGGCAGACACTTGTATGATTTTACACACTGCACACGCCACAGAAGCAGGTTACAAAACTATCACTGTATTAGCAGAAAACACAGATGTTCTCTTTTTTGTTTGAGTTTCAACAAAGACATCCATTGCCCTATGTGTGTCAAATCTGGAACACAAAACCACAAAAAATACAAGGACATCACCAAAGTTGTTGGTTTTCTTGGTGCATATGTATGTTTTGGTTTGATTGACCTTCACACATTTCTGGACTGTGATAATACCAGTGCATTTGGTGACAAAGGAAAGACAGGTGCACTAATGTTGGTGAAAAATGCACCTACATATCAACAGAGGGAACTTGGCCATTCCTGGGTACTTTCTGATTAGCTTTTTTTTTAAAGTTGGAAGAACTTGTATGCTCTGTCTAATTAAACTGCAGATGTAAACCAATGTCATTATCAAAATTTTTATTGCCAAAAGAGATAAATTAGATTCCAGCCAGCTTCCCCCTTGCAGAGACCATCTCTTCCAACATGCATTGTGGGCAAATTACCAAGCCAATATTTGGAGAAAGGCATTAGAATCTGAGCCTGACATACCTAAACCCACAAGTCACAAAAGTCAGAGCTAACTCTGAAGGAAATTTAGACATTCTTTGGATGACTGGACCCCCAACAACAAAAGTTGTACTTGAGCTGATGAGATGTGATTGTTCCTGTTTTTGTACAGTAGGTCCCTGTTTGTATTAATAACAGATTACCATAGACAGAAATGTATAGGCTTCAGGCATACACAAACCAACAACCTGGTGACGACAATATAAAAAAAGCATATCTGTGATGCTGAAGTGGATGACCAGAATGAAGAAGATGATTATGATTATAGTGTTGAAGATAATTGTGATGACAGTAGTATAAGTGCAAAGATCTTGTTCTTAACAAGTTCAAGTACTAAATGTTTACATATAAATGTAGATTGTATTTTCCAGTATACCATTTTGTGGTTCTCGAAATATTTTTGATTGTGACTATTTTATATAACATTTTTAATATGAAATTCAATTGAAACAATATATATTTGACAAGGTAATTAATTTTTTACTAGAAAAAGTCTTTGCTGTATGGATGTTTGGTATGGATATAAGCTTCAAATTGATCTTTTCACACAAATCTTGTGAGATGTTGAATTTGAAATGTGTATTTTTATGAACTTTTGAAATATAATTGTAGATTTTTGTTTCACCTAATAATTCCCAAGTTATAGCAAATATCAACATAAAACTTCATAGTCCTTTTGTCATCACACAATTTGATTTGGTGCTAAGTTTGAAGCAAATCATACAAAAGTAAGTACTAACACTTAGAGATGACATTTACTTCAAATAATCCAGAAATTATCAAATCACAGAACATAGGGTATACATATAAAAGCAGCGAAAAAATATAATAAAAAGCTACTCTAGCCAGATATCTATCATGCCCAAACAGTCTGTATAGATACTTAAACCTTTAAAATATAACCATGCAACTTTGCCTCCCCAGATGGTACCGATCACCCTATCTGACTCGTGGACTAAATCATATCTTTTTAAATACATCCTGTGTTACTTACTGGGTCAAAAACAAACTCCTCAAAATGATTCCTGACAGAAAAGACAGAATGTCTCCAAAATTTAGCCTGTTTACTTTTAATTATCTGAACATAAAAAAAAAAATTAAGCTTTGGCATTTAAAATAGGGCAATTTTTACCATTCCAGCCATATTATCACCAAAGTAAATACATACTAATTTTACAAGTTTTTGTGTATTAATTTAAGTTGTATATCAATGTTTATTCACTACATTATTTACATATTACAGTTTGCTTGACATAACGTGGGACCAATATGGGCAGTGATAACTACTATTTTACAGTTATTTAGGTTATACAAGAACTTTTAAAGCCAGAATGGTAAATATCAGTGTAGTGAGGACTTCTTTCAGTGCTAGTGAAACATTTCATATTAAAAAATTAAACTCCAAGTACAAAAGTAAAAGATATGCAGTATATTTAAATCTTGCTAAAACAAATACCTTGTTTCCTTCAACAAGAGAGAATAATGTACAATAAAATAATATACATGTCGTAAAATATTAGTATTATTGTGATGAAATTTACAAACTTAACTTAATTAAAGTACAGCTTATTGTTAAATTAATTTTGTGTAAAATCTTGTAAAACAGTTGATTTTATTTAATCTATAAGAGTTAATGGGAATTGGTAAAACCTGTGATGGTAAGCAAATGGAATACCCCTAAGACAAATGTACCCATTATGACTGTAATATTATTTTTAAAATACTTCATGTACTATATTTCACTACAACTATTCTACAACTTTGAACTTCAATGTGCCAAAAATAGCCCATTACCAATAGTAAGTTTCTTTTTCAAACTTGAATGATAAAATGCAGAAATTAATATAAGCACCTATTCTTCCATGTTTCTAACACAAAATATGTGTGTATTCAAACAATATGGATATCTCAAAGATAAAGCCTTGTCAGGAGTGGTGAACTACTCATATTTGGCCTGCATGTTCAATCAAACATAAAAACTTTCAGAATATAAAAGTCATATTTCCAGAAAACATATTGCATTATTTAACTCAAACCATTACTAATGTAAAATATAAGATTTTATAATGCATGGTGAATAAAACATAATAAATCTTTACAACAAAAGTATAACAACATTATATAAACCACTACAATAACTAGCTCTAACAAGTATTTGAATAACAATTTACTAACAAAAACCACTATACCATATATTACGAAGTGTATAAGAAGCCCAAAAATTAAGAACAAAAACAGTTAACAAAATACTACGCTTTTTTTTTCTTAAAATTTATTTTTTTTATCGAAAATTGCCTACTTTCTTGATTATAAGCATTGTGGGATGAAATCCATTACTCACTAATTGTTATAACTAAAAATAAATTTCTAGATGTGCATTTCTTTCCCAGGTAATTTCTATGCAGAATAACAAGTTCTCATCTAACAGATTGAATGAAGAAAAATAGGAAAAAAGGAATGTAATCATATACAAGGTTGTTGATAAGCAACACTACCAGAGTATGCTGAAGCTACTCAGTGAATCCCTAGTTAAGAATACAGCCAATCAAGTTTGATTGGAAAGGCTGTGAAAGGGCTGAGTTTCAAAACTTTGGTCCAGGGACTTGGTATGATCTGTGTTGTCTGTTGTGTGATAACTTGGTTGCTCTTGTTGGGGGTGTTCAGATTGCTGCTTAGGATGGTCAGACTGCTGCTGTTGGTCAAACTCCTGTTGCTGGATCCCAGAGCATGGGGTTGTCATCTGGCATTTGGTAGTAATATTGTTCAAGTGACGAGTAGGGCACTTATGTCTCTTCAGATCTCTTTCTTCAACAAATCTTTTTCCGCAGATGGCACACATAAAAGGCTTTTCCCCACTGTGCATTTTAATATGACGTGTTAACTTATCTCTGCGGTAGAATGACTTACCACAGGCTAAACATATATAAGGCTTCTCACCTGTGTGTATACGTCTGTGCCGGGACAGCTTGTCCTTCCGGTAGAAACCTCTTCCACAAAAATCACATGGGTAGGGACGTTCCCCAGTATGGATCATAGAATGCCGTGTCAAATGGTTTTTCTGGGAAAAGTTCTTTCCACAAACATCACAGTGGAATGGTTTGTCTCCTGTGTGGGTTCGCATGTGGTTCAATAATTTGCAACGGTAGCTGAAACCACTTCCACATATGCCACAAGAGCAGGGCTTTTCTCCTTGTGATGAAGGCATGTGAACCTCAAGCTTTTCTAAGAAAATAAAAACAATTGGTAAGTTAAAAACAGTATTCAGCTTCTCGGTAAAAGCATGCACAAATTAGTTGTTTAGTATGCACATATGAATGAAATCTAAAATATATAAGGTCAAATCTTTCAATCCAGTTACATCTTCATATGTTTCTATTCAGTCATTTAGAATACATTTTGATATTTAAAGATGAAAATATTTGCATAATTTAACAGCATTTGATTGTATACCAAAGTATGATACCTGTTAATGAGAAAATTTCAAAAAAAAAATAAAAGGAAGAAATGCTACATGAATTTGGTGGCATAGCTGTTACTAAAAATGGCTTTACACTTCTAGTTTCTGCACAAGCCTAATTGTATTTACTATTTTATATTCTATATATATATCAAAAACACTTCTCTAAATTCATTAGGCAGGACCATAAGTCTACAGTTATGTCTAGTGTATTATATCCTATCACTTAATGAGTATACATTTGTATAAAAAAATAAGAAATGTAAGATTTTAATAAAGTTTAGAGAAAACTATATATGCAGCTTGCATTTGTACATTCTAGTTTAAAATTGTAAGTGCACACAGGCACAGAAGTTGGTTTACTTTAACAAATAGTTCATTGCACTTTAGACGATAAGATGACACCATGGATGACATGTTCAGCATTTGAATATTTGGTTCACAGCCATGGGTGTCCACATAAATTTCTCTGGGGACAAAGTCTAAATCAACATAACATATCTACAGTATAAACCTAACATCAACATAACAAGGTTGTCTCTGTACTAAAAATAAATCATAATTAAGAATATTGAAGAAATTAATGCATTTTAATAATACTTATATTAATACTTTACAGCTTTTGTGATAAGTAAAAATAACTAGTGGTATTTTATTAAAATAAAAAAATTAAATATTCAAATTAATATATTTCTTCTTCTTATACATCAACAATAATCCCTCTCCTCTTTCAGTTTCCAACTGCATAAGCTTCAATCATCTACAAATCAGAAAAAAAAGACAAGTGATACAAATGTGTATATAAAATGCTGTAATTTATACTTTAATGTGTGAAATGAGATTCTAACAGATAACTTCCTCTGGATAAGAAGCTAAGTATTTATAACAGCTACTGCAGTAAGCTTCCTCCCACTACTTATCATTCTGTATACATACTCATGACTGTTTTATTCTCAATCAGTAATATGAATTTACATGAATCAAAGCGTAAAGTAAAAAACCCACTGTATAGCATGTTATTCAAAATACATATGATTGAAAACACAATTTGAAAGGTCATGCATTGCTACGAAATCTTGCTGCAAAGAAGCACCTAAAGACAAATGCAAACTATAAATAAAAAATTCAGTCAAATCTTAGAGATGGTAGATTAAAAAACTAAAACTGAGAATAAAGAAGAAATAATCAATGACAATGCAAAAAAAAGTCAATGCAGGAGGATGTTGATTTGATATTAGCCTAAGGTTCTACGTTTCATGCCCTTGATGGGGTAGATTTCTAAATTTCCTGATCAGTTACAAGAAGCATAACCAAAACATGAACTGTACAAAAGCAGAATGCATAGATGGCAATGTTCTAACCTTTGACATATTATACACAAAGGGAAAAGACTGTACATGTTCACTGAAAAAGACAAAGCTAGGAAAAATAAAGAAGTATACCATAACAAAGGATAAGTACTGAAAAGTTTAAAAAGATCAGGCTAGATATTAAACCAGTCAGTCATTGGTGAAATCTCTAATGATTTGAAGCCAAAAGGAGAGAACTTCTAAAAGAGGACATGTACTCAAATGTTCAAGAGAATCTAACAAGAAAAAAAAAACAAAAAAACTTGACCCTATATTTAGTCTCAGTCAGGAAACAGCAAAGAGTGTGGTATACACTGTACATAAAAGGAACAAAAAGATCCTTTTGACAAATAGAATTGAAATGAGGGCCAGAAAACAAAAAAGAGAAAAGAAATGATTATTACAGATTCCTAACTGAGAAGGGTAGAAGTGGAAAATTTTTTTGTATGTATATAAGATCTAACATTTGAGATTTTAAGTACATATTATAAGACTGAAGTGATCAGATACAGATCATTATCATGGTTAGTAGCTTATATGATCACTTAATAAATTACTGACTTGTTAATAATTACTGTACATTTCAGCTGCTAATCTATTCTGTCTTCAGGAAGTTCCCAAAGACTGTAGGTGGTGTCAGGAGCTGGGATTCGAGCCTGCATCTACTTATTAAAAAGGCAGCTGTGCTATCAAATTGCTCAAACTCTCACCTCTTTGTGACTTTTATTGACTATTTTCACACCTACAATGAAGGATTCAGATGGTCCCAAACACTTGTATTACATAAAATTTAGAAAACCCTAAAACAGACAGAAACAAGTAAGTAATGAGTTCAAATAAGGATAGAACAGACTAAACATCAACTTTTAATAGGACAAGATGTTTGAATAACAACTGCATTGGGTCAAAAATAATTATGGGCAGTACATCCAAATGAACAAAAATAAAGTTGAATTTTGCAAGTGAGAAAAGTAGTTCCTGTTATTAGTGAAGTTCAAAGATTTCAAAGTAAAGGACTGTAGCTAATTCAACAATGATACGGCTTAAGAAAACATTAATTTAAAATTAAAGAGTCAATCTTCAGAGTGTGTGTTAGGCCAAACAGCAAAGCACAGTTCTCACAAACTTTCATGATTAAGGTAGCACTGACCCTTAGAAGTGAGCAAATTTACATGCTGAGGAAACACTGTTAAACACGTCTTATACCCTTCAAGTTGAGCACAAAACAAAAGTATAATGTTGCAATCTCTGAAAGAACACTTTCACTCATATATGTGATATGCATAATTAATGTGGCAAGGAGAAAGAAATACATAACATAAACTGTTTTGACCCCATAACTTTATTTAGGAATGATAAAAACATGAGAATTGATACACATGCTCTTTGTGAACATCCTCATAGTTTGAATTAAAAACTTTGCAAATTTTCTGCAACGAGCTATGGGCAATCAATTTTAATTAATGCATTCATTAGTAGTAATTAGACTCACAACAAGACAATTGGTAAAGATTTGTGAATTTTAAAACAGTCAAGCTACAGAAGTGTGTTATATCAACAAGTGTGCTAAATCTCATGCTGATATTGGCTTTAATTGTGAAGTTACCATGCTAATAAATTGGTGACTCCAGTGAAAACTGTGTTTTCAGAAAATGGCCGTTAAGACAAAAAATAATTTAGTTATGTAGCGAAGAGGTTAAACTTTCGATTTAGGCTAAATTTGAAAAGTGTGATTTTTAAAATATTGGGGGCACTCTAAGTGTCAGTGGTACTTTAAAACTCCAGAATATTTTAAAAGTCAATGAACATAAGATCCATGACAAATACAGCTTACATCTTTATCATGTTTCCATAATGTGCATTACAGTGGCTGATCTACCTACACGAAAGATGTTCAAAATGTTCAACCATATTCAAGGAACAACAAAGAGCTAACCAGTCCTCATTAAAACAGGAACTTGCTGGATTTATGTGGCAAAGTTCAGATAAGAAAACTCCATCTACCCCAAATAAGATAAGTTCATTATTTGAGTAAAACTATCTATGAGTACTTGGGTTTATTGATGGAAAACCTTGCAGTATGTTGATCAACACTGGATCTACAACTATTATAGATTGGTTCAATTTGGTAATGAAAGGTGGGAAATTTCCTCTAGTTATGAAGAGAGATAGATTGATGAGAAAAGCAAGTGGATACAATGTTCTGGTAAGATGAAAGATTAAACCTACCCTTACTATACGAAACTTCTCTATACCTCATGATGTATGGGTAATTGACATATTGAGAACTGACTTTATGAAAATCCATGGATGATAGGTGAGGCTAGCTTCACATTCTGGTAAGGAAATCTCTGTGTACTATACAGAAATTACAGAGGTTGAACTTCCAGTGACAACAAGGAGGGTGGTCTTTGTACCTCCAAGAAGTGCTATACTGGTATATGGAATTATTAAGAAAAAAATCTATATCTAGTGAATATGGTGTAGTGGAACCAAACACTAGCATGTTGAGAGGGATTGATGGTCAGAAGAAACCTTGTGGACCTGAAGAATAAAGATGTCATACACGACTTTACCCAGAAAAAGATTTAAATCACCTAGTGATGAAATAAAAATTCAATGAGATGTTAATACTGATAAAACTAGATTCGAGATGAGTATGTATGGCTGAATAATCCCCCCCCACCCCCACAACAAAGGTCATTCACTGTGATTGTTTATGGAACTACTTGGTGAGAGAATGACCAATGAGTAATTACAGAGAAAAATTTGCAAGCTGAAAGTCAACCTACTGAGAAGTCCAGGTTTCTTGTTTAGAACACTTCCAGAGGATTACCAAGGACAGAGCCACCAATGTATTCACTCAACCATCTACCTAGGAAGTACTTCCCCAATGAAGGGACAGTAAAGTGTTCATCTCATCTGGATACCATGGGCCACATAAGAGAAAACCATCAATAAGACTTGGTGATTATAAAGTTTAGTGTACTGTATTATCTAGGAATTGTTGTAAGCTATATTTTTACTGTTATAATTTAGTTGTTTATTAGAGTGAGCTGCTAATCACAATGATCATGCTAGATCTATTAAAGGTTGTAAAAGAAGTCCTAGATTAGAGAAACTTTCCACAATTCGTAAAAGTGAGAATTCAATATAAATACAAGAATTGATGATAGAGGAACAACTGATTGAGCTGTTGATTGAGTAAAGTTATTCAGGTCACTGAGAGTTAGTGCTTTTGTTAGCTAATTGGTAATTTAGTCAAATTTGTAAGCAATCAAAACACCTTCTGTTAAATGGTATTAGTATTACTAGAGTATTAGCTACTAGTTTTGTATTTGAAGTAAAGCCTATAAGTTAAAATGGCTGTAACAAATGTTAGAAATAAATTAACTATTAAATGGCAGCTATCACTG